AGATTATATTCAAAATTAATTAATCCCGAAATAAATTTATACACAATTATTGAAACAAAGATTTTTTTGCAGTACATAGATTGAAATTCATGTCATTGTTGACCAGCGTGTTCAGTGATGTGTGACACTGATATCCAAATAACATGCATTGACTTTCTGCTAATTATGCCAAAAGGCGATTGAATCCTAAGGTGTTGACACCATTTTATACAATAGCATTGCTTTTTATAAATCGGCCAGGTAAAAACAAACAAAACAAATAAGAAATAAGTCACTATTCCCGATATTTTCAAATATTTATTTTTTAAATATATATAAATATTTAATAGCCTATTTATAAATTAAAAACTAATTCATAAATAAATTCCCCAATAATTGTTCACATTGTTTATGTGACAGAAGAATGGTAGAATAATTTAATTTTATGGTCATTTAATAAATTATTAGGTTTTATTTGAGGGCGGTAAAAAAATGGCATGGAATGCTCTTTTTAAGCATGGTATTAGCTTTTTCAATTAAGAAAAAAATCCAGTACAGTATGTCCCTCTGAATGTCTTACTGAAATGACAATTTTGTTTTTTGTTTGGTTTTCTTTTTTTTTTTAAATAGTGCCAATGCAAACTTTGAATACATAATTTGACAGCATTAGTTTATTAAATAGGCCTAGATATTTTTTTTTCAAACACATGTATTGAAGTTTAATTTAAGGGATAAAAATCATCCCATGACTTCCCTTTTTAACTACTTTCATTTTTAAAAATTAATTCTAGACTACAATTGTGAAACTTATAGCCCCTGAAGACATTTAGTAATTACATATATAACTATCTCTACTTATTTAATTTATGTAAGAAATACTTGCTTTTTAATTTTTTTTTTTTTATCTTAAACACCTCTCTGCAGAAAGTAAACAAAACAACAAGAGGGAGCTGCAAATTCAGAATACACAAGGGGCGGAGCTATCATGTCACTCAGAATCATTTTCATGCATGAGTGAACAAAGCAGTCCCAGAAAGCAGTCCCAGGGACTGCTGGGTCTGCTTTCTAGAGCAGTCCCATAGCGGTCCTAGAGCAGTCCCACAGCGGTCCGAGAGCAGTCCCCGGGACTGCTTTCTGGGACTGCTTAGGTGTCAGATTGGGTTTGGTTGGAACTGTACATGTTCATGTAAAGCTGATTCAAAAAGCGCTAAATCAAATCTACGCTTACTTCTTGAAAATCCAATTTCCGCAAAATATCGTACATGCCAAATAAAATACATTTACAGGACATCGGCGACTTTTTTTCCAATTTAAAATACTTACTTCAATTCATATGTCGATTCAATATATCCCAGTGAACTCTGAATAAAAGATACCACAGAGTTTGAACATCTGTTTCATATTTGGTGTTTTACTAACTCTACGCGATAAGGACCGATTGTCAACTAAATTGTATGACAAACGAGAAGACTTCAGCTTTTCCATCGTCAACTCTCCTTATTAGTCCCCTACCGGTGAAACCGGAAGGGACTATAGGTTTCCTCTGAGTCTGTCTGTCTATCTGTACGTCTGTCCATTTCTCTGTCTGTCAGTCTGTCCCACTTGGTTTTCCGCACTTTTTTTCTAAATGCTTGCAGATATTGAGCTGATTTTTGGTATGTGACTTTACCTTGATAAGTTATAGACCAAGTTTGCATTTCGTTTCGCTTCATTGATTTTTTGACGGAATTATGGCATTTTCAATTTTCAACGGGAACCAGATTATACTTGCCGGTAAGGATCTAGTTTTGCTAATGCAATACTCACAGAATGCTTGTTTATGTAGTAATATTCCACTTTTATCTGGATATGTTGTTTTCGTCTCCCAGCTTATTTGATACTAAAGAGCATGCTATTAGTACAATCAATTTTTGAACCGAGGCGAGCTTCTGACAGATAAATTTATCTGACAAGCATTCCAACAGTCTTGTATAAATTCAGCACTTCGTAGAATTTATGTTCGTTAACTTTGACCTCAAATATAACCTTTCAATGGGTTGTACTTTAGCTGGGTATTTCAAAACATAGTTTGTTTTTTTTTCAATAGGAAATTTGACTACGGCATTTATATTCTACATGATCAATACACAGGGTTCATGGCGGGTGTGACCGGTTGACAGGGGATACTTACCCTTCCTAGGCACCTGATTCCACCTCTGGAATTTCCAGGGGTTGATGTTTCATGCCCTCTTCACATATAAGTATTGATTGTAGATTGTGATTTTTAATTAATAACAGTTACACTTTGTTATTATCACCTTTTTCATTATCTTTGTACCAAGCATACCTAGCATAAGTTAACGCGGGTCTGCAAAGTTAAAGATTGATTGATTGATTGATTGTATGTTGTTTTACGTCCCATTCGAGAATTTTTCACTCATATAGAGACGTCACCTTATACCGGTGAAGGGCTTCAAATTTTGACCTTTACTCGGCACTCAGGGCCATTGAGCAGTGAGGGATCTTTATCGTGCCAACGCCTGCCGTGACAAGGGGGCCTCGGTTTTTAAGGTCTCATCCGAAGGACCCGCAACTTTCACTTCAGAGTGCCGAGCGCATGGCGAAGGAACAGTTGCTACCCATTTTTTATCGACTTAGGTCTGTCGCGGCCGAGATTCGAACTCACGACCTCCCGATCACGGAGCGAGCGCTCTACCGACTGAGCTACCGTGAACGGTGCAAAGTTAAAGAAGTATTTGGATAAATAATAATTGTCAGTCTTTCAACAAATTTATCTTATGCATGACCCTTTCTTATTGTCATTCCTAAAATCTCTAATGTTAATCAGGATAAAAGATTTCGCAAACTAGTATAGGTATCACCTACAAGTGTGACCTCGACCTTTCACGTTGATAACTATGATGATTCAGAAAAATTTAGTTGTTTTCACTGGAGGGTGTTTGTTTACAAATATATCATTTTGATTCTATAATATTATCATAGAAAATATGAAAAAATTACATATGGATAAATGGTGTTCATTCTTCTCATTTACATATCGGCCATATTGGAGTTATAATGGAGACAGATTCCATAAAGGTTTATATAGAGAACGAACAAAAACCGCAGATTTTTATATACTAATTCGGATAAAGTTCTTCCGCCTATGTTTAGATTTTTCTTAATATCTTTTACCGGAAATGACAATATTGTTGATGCCAAAGTGAAAGTTTCGACCGCCTTTTTGATTTGAAATTCCGCAGCTAGAGTATAATGTTTTAATGAAGGAAAGAACACAGAATTGGTGTCATTATCATTTTAGTTCTTCCACCGATTAATAGGTTCAGACGAATACCTCTTTTTATAAAATACAGATGATTTATCATTTCATTAAGAGCCTTTTTAATTTGAAAACGGCAGTTTCTTGCATCAATGTGACCTACTTATTACCCAAAGCAGATGGTTTCATGAGTTGACAACTGCTAATAACCCAAAATTCTGCTTAAAAAACAAAACAAACTGTGCTTGCAGGTTTTAATATGAAAATTTAAAGAAATGGAATATTTCGAGTTTATGCAGGATCTTATGAATATAAATGAGAAGTAAATCACGTGGGAGCAACCTCATGAATAAAATGTACATCATTTCTCCATATGATTCCTATTTCAGGAAATGAAGAATTCATCTGTCTATAAATGATTGAAGTTTTGAGGAAAAAATAAAGAATCTTCTTTTGTTGATCAGGGATTAAAAAAGGTAATTATATTTTTTACATACTTGTATGTATTGTTTAAGCATGTTTCATAAAATTTCGATTGACGAAAATCGAGGGGTAGCTGTATGCATATGTAATTTTTCTTTTTAAAAAAGGCCGAAGGGTGTATGGAATACAACCCGAGGTAAATCCCAGTAAATCCTTGTAGGCCCTGGATAACGAATTTATTTCCCATATAACCAAATAAATTCTTTGTAAATCCAAGTCAAATCAGTTGAGCTTCAAACTATCGATATGATTTACTACGTGCTACAATGCTTAGTGACGTCATGTTATCTATTTTTTTGTGATAGAGAATCTTTGCATTGTGACGTCACTTTATTTAGTATCCGCCTCAAGTCATGTGTATAGAAATTTGTTATATTTTCAACAGTGAAATACTGTAATTTATTTATTGAATAAAAGTGATATTCTGACACAGTATGAAAGAATATCAAAATGGTATTCTCACAGTGTGAGAGATTATCAGAAGTGAGCAAACTCTCGATTCTTCCTTTCCTTCTCGAAAAGTGTTTTAAAACAAAAAAAACCCTCATGGCCTGTTATGATAAAGAGAAGAAATGAACCATCCTGACAGAGACTGACAGAAACTAAAACTACCAAGGTTGCTGAAAATATGTTGTTAAAAATCCATGTTTACAACGTTTTTCAATCTCTCAATCGCTTAGCTATGAAGTCTCAATCTCTCAAATATGACGTCACAGCCTATGACAGAGGCAAAGGGAAAATCAAAGGAAATGTCATAAACAGGAAATTCAATGTTTTGTAGTTGAATATGGAATTTATTTCACTCGTGAGAAAGGATTTTTGATATTTTCACTCGTGTTCGCACTCTTGAAAATATCAAAAAATATCTGTCTCATGAGTGAAAAAAAAACCATATTCATCTACAAAACATTGACTATCCTCTATTTACACCCGGCTTGCTAACAAATAAAACATCGTGTTACAAGCTTGATAGGAAATAAGTATGTTTTTCTTTGCTTTGTTATACGAGGCATAACGATTGTAGAAAATTTAGAAATATTTGTACACTAAATTTGATTCTGAAAGTTTTCTGTTCGAAATTATTATGTATTTACTCACAAATCTATATTTCTTTCTTTACTTGTTAGATTGGTTTGCTAATGAAATATGGAGAGAACTAAGAACTAACAGTATACAAGTCCAAATGTCCATTGAAACAATACAAATCGGGAGCATCGCAAACACGGACATCGAAAACATCAGAGGTGGGATCTTTTGCCAATTTTTTAATCATACTTACTGTTGTATGTCTTGTTGTAATCCACATGAGTATTAGAGATATACTCCCGTACCCTAATCTTCACAACTTTATATTGCAAGACATTTTCCACTGTGAATTGGTCATCAGAAACTCGCTCCCATTTAGATGTAGAATCCCTGGTGATTTCTACATCATTTATTCTTGCTGAAATATTGCTCCATGTAAAAATCAATGCTCCATTCATAAATTTCGTCGAAATAGTAAACGTTTGTCCTAAAATGATAAAAAAAATCTTTTGAAATTCAAATCAATTTCGGTCAAAAAGGGGGCTGTTGATTGCTTAATATTCCTATTGGGTAAAACATTGCAATTTAATCGTATTGTTTTAAAACAAGAAGGTTCAAATTAATTTTATAATTGGAAAAGAAATGGAAAAAATATGAAATCCTTCATTTCTAAAGTCAAATTTGACAGAAAAGTTTTTGAACTGCATTTTTTTTAACAACTTGTCTAATTAGTGTTAATGACATATTACTGTGAAGAAAGTGTAATTTGCCCTTTTTAGGTCACCTGGTAACCTATTGCTGTCCGTTTTCGTCCGTCGTAATTCGTTAATATTTGAACATTTTCAACTTCTTCTCTGCAACTGCTGAACCAATTTAAGGTATGTCACTCGTCAGCCTTTTAGAAAATTTCAGTCAGAACCTCTTACTTAAAAACTATTTATTACAATTCAATCTTTATAACATATTTAAATTAAACAATGTAAAATGTTCAACATTCAATTAAAAAACTGTTAAAAAATTCACAAAGAAGCAAGATTTATAAGGGACTATTTCTTGTGGCGGAAGGATATTTAGCAGAAAATTCTGCAAATCTACACATTAATTAAATTTAATATCTTAAAACTTTAGCCTCATATACTTTTACTCAGAGAATATTTTCCGTTATGATATGCCTGGAATATTAGATATAGGTCTCAATTTATATTTTTATAACAAAATTTACACCTTCACTCAACAAACATTGCCAAGAAATGAAGATATATTAAGGAAGTCGAAATAAAATTTACACAGTTTTTTGCCAGAAAATCGCATATTTTGACCAATATTTCAAAATTTACATCACTGACCCCAACGTTTTCTTTCATTATTTTAAACTACTCGATACTTTTGACCGATCAGCCCCATGGTCAGGTGTTCTGGAGTTAGGATGGGGCTCTATTGATCATATAGTTAAATGTATAAATTCTTTAAAAATCGTTTTCTCTCCCACTGTATACAGAGCGGATAAACACGGATAAACACGATGCATGATTATAATGATCAAAAGTGCCTCTTCAAAAATTGTGAAATTTGTTGCCCCAGGATGAGGGGTTCCGCACGACGGGGGGGGGGGGGGGGCTCATTGATTATATAGTGAAAGTGCATTATTTCTTTGAAAATCTTTTCTGCTCCTAGGTATTAAGCAAATAAACCCTGTATATAGTTACGATGAGCACGGGAGCCTTTTTCAAATCTTTGAATGTCTTGGCCCTGGATCAGGGGTTCTGGTGTTCGGACGGGACCCTATTGATCATATAGTGAAAATGTATAAATTCTTTTTTTTAAAAAAGTTCTCCTTTCCTCCTGTATATACAGAGGATAAACTAGGTACACGGTTATGATGATCAAGGGCGCCTCTTCTAAAATTGTGAGATTTGTGGCCCCAGGTTGAGGGGTTCTCCGTGAAAAAAGGGGACTATTTTGATTACATAGTGAAAGTACATTATTTCTTTTAGAATCTTCTTCTCTGCTCCTAAGTATTAGCAGATAAGCCAAATATATAATTGTGATAAGCACGGGCGCCTCTTTCAAAATTGTGAATATCTTGACCCCTGGGTCAGGGGTTCTGGTGTTAGGGCGGGGCTCTATTGATCATATAGTGCAAATACATAAATTCCTTGAAAATTTGATGATGATCAAGAGTGCCTCTTCTAAAATTGTGAAATTTGTAGCCCCAGAGTGAGGGGTTCTCCGGGGGAAAAGGGGGGTTTCTATTAATTATATGCGAAATTAAACTAATTCTTTGAAAATCTTCTCTGCCTCTGGTTATTTAGCAGATAAACCAAGTATGTGAGCCGTCCCATGCGAAAAGGGCCCTTATGTATTTTGACGTCATAATGAGAAAAACGCCGGTAGAGATAACGTCATAAAATGCAAGTTGCGTATGTTATATATTTTTCAAACATTTTTACCTGAGCGCTATCAACTTATTTTCATTGTTGTTTATATCATTTAGAGCCAATAAAATATTAGGGAAAAAAAAGAAAATATGATTTTTTTAGAGCTTAGTTCCATATAAATGGACATTCCTATATTGAATATTAAATTTTACTGATATAATTAGGTTCTCGTTTTTTATCTAATTTTAATACATTAAAAGCGATTGTACAAGATGCAGTGTTTGTCTGAATCAAAGTTTACGAAAATAAATACATTTTTGTGTAGGAAGGTTTGCAATAAGTTCAGTTTAATCTTTGAGTTGATAAATGGGAAGAGCGACTGCTTATTTTAGTTAATGAATCATATTTGGCCATTACTTTAGGCATGTACGTAACAACGTTTTTCTTTTTTTCAGAAAAAAAGGGGGGCTTAAAATGAAAAGTTAAAAATAGCCCCCCCTCCCACAAAAAAAAAAACAAAGAAAGAAAAAAAAAGTATTTCGGTAGGGGGTTAATCCCTTTTCGACAAAAGAAAATTGAGTTAAAATGGCAGTGCTCAGTAATGTCGGAGATACCACCAGAGGTTACTCAGTATATAGATACAAGAATATCCAATGCGTACAAATTTATCAGACCTCGGGTCAAGGGGCGTTTCATAGATAGAAGTACAACATGTCAAAATTTTACGAGCTTGAAACGACAGGTTGTTAGTGTCAGTGAAGAAAATTTGATTTCTTTTTAAATCTGAGATAAATACTTCTATCACCGTACAAAATCGACTCTTAAAATAAATCTTACTTTGAATATTATTTAAAACATATATTCCACTTATCAATTTTAATTATAAATCTTTATTTAGTGTAAATTGCCCTCAACACGTTTTAAATCCCTATATAAAACATTCAAGTAATTATTTTATTTAAACTTCTTTCATGTCCATCTTATCAAAGTTTTTCAGAGACTCTGTGATTTACTCAACACATGTCATTTTATCACTCAATTCGCTAATTGTTGTCAAAGAACTCTGTTAAATACAAGTATCTAAATTGTATGTGTCCGACTTGCCACTTCCGTATGTGTCCCCGCATGTATTTATTGAAAGTTTAAATTGTTCTACGTCGTTAAAAGCTTTAATAAACTCGCAAACTGATTTTTTCGTTACTTTGGATTTATGATATGTGATTTCGGGAAGAGTCCTATGAATACGGCATTACTACTCCCGGCCCGCAGCGCCACTCATTTCACTGCCAACATTCCTTCTTTCCCGATCAACGACATATCTTATTAAACCCAAACTAAGTGGTCATAAAATTTGAGAACCACAAAATGAATGGAAGTATAGGCCTAAGTTTTTGATTTTTTTTTCTTCAAACGAAATTTAGCGAAAAAAGGGGGGTACATGATGAATCAATGAGACATAAAAAAAACTTCAAACTTCAAAATATATTCTGAACTTATAATGACCTTATAAGGATATGACGATAATATGAAAATTATATTCTCATCCTCGGGTTTGGTGAGATTACATGTTCACTGCAAGACAAACGAATATTGACCCGGTACAGTGCAAATAGGCGGTGCAAATATTGTGACGATTTACTCCAATGTTGCAGGGAACACGACCAACTTTAAAATAATGTTTGTATCCCCTCTTCCGACTCAGGACGAAAAAATTGAGTTGGAAGGTAGGTGAGAATTTTTTTCCCCAGAAAATTTTAATATCAATGCTGAATTTTCAAAATCAATTTTCCGAAATGCAATAAAAATGCTTTCTGGCAGTTAAAAAGAGTTTTGAGTTGGACCATTTTTAGCCGGTCGGTGAGGACAATCAACCAATTTTGACAGATGGTCTAATATGTACAATATCGTAAGAAACATACATTACCCATGTAAAAGGGGGAAGGGGTTGTCTCCGCACTTTTTATTGCCTGTGTCAATATTTACCAAGGTAGGACAATGAATACATGTATGTTTAGTATTGTAGGTACATATTGCCCCCTCCCCTTCCCTAAGCTTCATATAATTTGTCAGAAAACCACCTCAAACTTCATCGTTTAACTTGTCAGAAAATTTTAACTGGACTGTGTTACTGCAGATGCCTCCCCCTCTTGCCGATCAATTTTCTGTATCAGCCCTTCAAGCTTTCTTTCATAAATTCATTTAAGTCATGAGTAAAGCAACAAAAATTATATTCTTATGATGAAAAATTATCGAACAATGAACTCTATAAGTACAAGGAAGACGCAATGTTATCAGTCTTATCGGATTCATTTTAAATTTCTTTAAAAATTACTTTTCATAAGCTACAAATAAATAAAATACAAGTCTGTAAAATATCTAAACACATATCTTTTATTGGTTTGTTTTATATTTAATAATTACTTTTCTCTGAACCGTATATCAGAGCAATATTCACGTCTTTGTTGTGTTTAAAAGAAAAAAAAGGTATTTACCGATATAAAACCATTATCTGTTTTTTTTATTTATGAGAAAACTTATATAAAGAATTTTTTATCGGATTTTCTAAATCATGTGTGTTACAATTGACCAAAATGAAAATTTATATGACATGCAAAAATGTCGATAAAGTAATGTTTTTTCAATCAAATACGCATTTCAAATATTTCTGAGAGGGATATAAAAGCGTCAGTTTGAACGTCATTTTTCAACGTCATTTTTCAAGGTTATTTTAACATTTTCTTAACCTTTGATTCCCTATATCTCAGTTATTATTCTTAATATTTGAATCAAACTTTATATTTGGTTATTTTACTTTTTAATCTATCATAATCCATTTAAAAGTCAATTTTGAAAATTTTTACCTTAAGGGCCCTTTTCTCATGGGACGGCTCATATAGTTGTGATGAGCAAGGGCAATTCCCCCAAAATTGTGAATATTAATTCTTTGAATATCTTCTCGATCAATGATACCTCTTCCAAAATTGTGAAATTTATGTCCCCAGGGTCAGGGCTTGAAGTCGGGGGGGGGGGGGGATTTAAT